ATGAATAAATCTCTAGTCTTTTACTGGGTGATAATGAAGGCAGTCATCTGGCTGCATGGAGATGTAGAGGGGATCTGAAGATCCTATTATTTCTTAAACTGACTTGAAACATTCCATTTGTTCTGTCTACACCTTCATAATTTCCCCCAAAGATACCTGGTGGCACAAAATTCTAGGTATATGAGAGATAATATGGTGTAAATCATTTATTTCCTTGGTTTTCACAGTTCTGTCATAATGTCAGATATTATGAGTATGCCAAATCAAATACTGCTCACTTACCAACTTTGTAGCTTTCAAAATGTTGTGGTTGTATGTGACTCTGTGATTTTTTGGTCTTCTTTTTTTTGGCCTTGTGAGTCAGTGCCATTTTTTAATTTCTGTCATATTAGTGAGTTTCAGGAAGAAATAGACACAAGTTGCCTACATTAAGTCTGCCATTCTTAAGCATCTTCTGATTTATTTCTAAGATGACACCAAGGGGCACATTAACTCAAACGGAACCTGGAGCCTGGCAGTGAAAGCTCCAGGTCTTCAGTAGTTCTATTCAGAGTAGATGGTGCATGAGGTCAAAATCTCCATCAATAGATTCTCTCTTTGCTTTAGAGATTGTACTGAGTCAATTCATGAAATGAACATTTGTTGAGCATTTAGACTGAAAGACACAGTGAACACAAACAGAATGAGATATAGGCCTTGCCTTTATGATTTCTCAGTATAATTAGAGAGAGAACCAAAGAAACTAAGATTTGTACCACTATTAGTTATGGTTAGCCAATCACAGTGCTAAATTCTTTAGACACTTTCTCTCAGGTTGCCCTTACTACCACCCTCTAAATCTGACGGCCTTGTCTCATATATAAAAAACTCAAAGCTGGGAGGGAATAACTGGTTGGTACAGGGTCAAAACAGCTATCTCCAGAGCAAAATTCATACTTAGGTATCTGTGAGTTCAAAATTGATTTATTTAATCACTACCCTATGCAAAATTGTGTGGCATGTGCTATCACACAGTTTTGTACAGGGTACACTCAGGATTCTACCAATTTAGTTGACTCACTTTCAGTGACAGGAATCCAAGTCAAACTTGCCTAGATAAACCAAGCTACACCAAAAAAGTGTCTGAAACTGGTAAGTCGAGGATGTACATGGCTTCTTATTTGGCTAGACAGGGCTAATCATTCACGATAGTGTGTCTCCCTTTACAGTTTTCGTACTGTTTGGTTCTACTCGGTGTTAATCTCACTGGGGCTCTTCTCTTGTAGTGCAAATAGAACTATCAGAATCCCTAGATGTAATCTTATGAGTTCAGTAACTTCAGGAAGAAAAAATAAAATTGTTACAAATAATTTTGGTAAAAAGATTATAGTCAAATGACTATTTCCGACTAATCACTATCATCAGGGTTTGGCATGTGCTAACAGGATTATGTCTTGTGAGGTGGTCAAGTCAGTCTATTAAAATGTGTTTCCTGTATCATATAAGGTCTAATCAAAAGAGAATTGGTTCTACAAATATTGCAAGAGGGAAAATGCAAAATGTTGTCACTTAAAAATATAAAAACTAATAAATTGCAGAAAATAGCTACTACTCCCAGGACTGGTAGAACAAATAGAAAGAGGAAGAAGTAATACTCAGATTCTAGAATCTAAGAGGAGAAGCTCTATAGGATTGGTGTTTGGATTATTGGAGGGTTTGGAGGTGCCCGACAGCCGGTATGGACCTCTGAACTAGAGGCTCCACCCAGAGGGTGCAGGGTCCAACGTGGAAGGAGACCAAGAAAAGGACCTGAAAAGTTCTTGAGCAACTCAAGGAGCTCAGCCCAGGTAATAAAATGAGACAGGATGGTAGAGCTGTTAAGAGAATGTTGTCCACCTACTGACTATACATCTAAGAGATACAGCATGTTAAGCACATTTTCATTCACATATTGGATGTTTGCACATCTTCTTTTGGAATGTGTCTTTCAAATCATTTGCCCATTTACGAAATGGTCTCTTTATCACTGAGATATCTTTTAATTTTTAAATTATTATATATTCTTGATACCTTTATCAGAGAAATGTATTGCAAAAATTCTTTCAGTCTGTGGCTTGTCAATGAAATTTTTTTTGTTAAATAGATGTTCTAATTTTAATGAAGTTTATTTCATCCTTTTTCTTCTTTAGAGTTTAGAGCTTTCTAGAATATGTCTAAGAAATCTATGCCTACACCAACTTACTTTCCTATGTTTCTTCTAGAATATTTATGTTTAAACTTTCTGTATATGGTTTTATCCACTTAAAACTAATTTTTGTATATGGTGTGAGGTAGAGATCAAGTTTAATTGTTTTCTCATGAATAGTTACTATTTCCAGTATTAATGGCTTAAAAGATTTTTCTTTCCCTATGGAATTACTTTGTTGCTTGGTTAAAAAGCAATTGACTGTATAAGTGAGGATCTGTTTCTCAATCTGCCATTGTGTTCTTGATTTATTTGTCTTATTTTATTAAAAAGCCAATCTGTCTTGATTATAAGAGCCTTACATTTAGTCTTAAAATCAGTTATGGAAGTCCTCTGTGTCATTTAGAGTTCCTTAAGAAACAGACCCCAAGAAATGATTAGACCTGCAAGAAGTTTATTTGGTAAATGTCTGTGAAGAATAAAATAGGAGCGAGTGGGAATCAGTGACAAAGGCCTTCAGATTAGGATGAAAGTCTGACACCTAAGAAAAGAAGAGAAGGGGCAGCCTGGTGATGCCGCGGTTAAGTGTGCACACTCCACTTCAGCTGCCCGGATTTCGCAGGTTTGGACCCCAGGCGTGCACCGGCGCACTGCTTGTCGAGCCATGCTGTTGCGGCATCCCATATAAAGTAGAGGAAGACGGGCGTGAATGTTAGCCCAGGGCCAATCTTTCTCAGCAAAAAAAAAAAGAGAGAGAAGGAAGGATTGGATATGAAAATCTCAGATCACAGTGCAGTTCTAAAAAATCTCAGTCAGGATGATAAGAAGTCTTTAATAAAGATTGCCTATCAAAGAAGACCCATGTTACACAGAAATTAGGCAGTTCCTGGGGCCGGCCCCGTGGCGCAAGCCGTTAAGTGCGTGCGTTCCACTGCGGCGGCCAGGGGTTCGCTGGTTCGGATCCCAGGTGTGCACCGATGCACCGCTTGGCGAGCCATGCTGTGGCGGCATCCCATTTAAAGTGGAGGAAGATGAGGCACAGATGTTAGCCCAGGGCCAGTCTTCCTCAGCAAAAAAAGAGGAGCATTGGCAGATGTTAGCACAGGGCTGATCTTCCTCACAAAAAAAAAAAGAAAGAAAGAAATTAAACAGTTCCTGTATTCCTCACCATGGTAAACATGGCTGGGACATCTCAGAGTAAGAGTGGACTCTGCCTGAACACTATGGTGGATCCAAAGGAGTATTAGCTGTGGACTTTTATCAATGAAGCTCCTCATAGCTGGCTCTCTTGAAAAGGAGCTAAACAGTACATCCATTGCTGCCAAATCCACCCCCCAAAAATAAATCATACCCCAAAGTTCTTTCTGCTTTATTTATTTATTATTGTGGTCATTTAAACAAGATAACACAATTCAACAAGTATTTCTCGCCTTCAAAATATATCTGACATTCTAAATATGCAAATGGGAAAAGCATTGGAGAAATAGGGAAATTATAAGAAACAGCATCTACTTTAAATATGTTTATTATCTTATTGGTGAGACACGGTGCTATGAAATCTTCACTGCAAAAAGTGATGATGTTGGGAAGTGGGCCATTTAGGATGTGTTTAAGTTATAAAGATGGAACCTTCATGAATGGGATTACTGCCTTATAAAAGAGGCTCCACAGAGATTACTGACCCGTTCCTCCATGTGAGGCTATAATGAGAAGTGCACGACCCAGAAGAGGGCCCTCACCCATTTATGCTGGCACCTTGATCTTGGACTTCCAGTCTCCAGAACTGTGAGAAATAAATTTCTGTTGTTTGTAAGCCACTGAGTCTGTGATATTTTGTTATAGCAACTCAAATGGACTAAGACACAGGTCTTAGTCACAAAATGTTGTTAGGAATATAGTTTATTATCATTAATATACACCTTTTTACATGGTAAATCTTATTAGATAAGTAAAACAATGTGTAACATGTTTCTTGCAACTTACTGTGCAGTATTTTCCTTTAAGAGATAAATAACAAAGTTCTACAGTAAGAACTTCATGCTCTTTTTCAAAATATTTGATGTCATTTTAGATAAAAGGAATGCAAATTTTATAATAAGCCAGTTACCCCACTTTATTGAGATCCAAATATACATATATATATAATACCTTTAATCATACTCTGTTAATACTATCTTTGGCAATAAAAGGTGGTGTTATATGTGTTCTCTTCAATATTAAATGATCTGGGCTGATAAACGCTTTCAAAACCAGGTGGTATGTGGTACAGATTTTGCCGTTCTCAAAGGGAACAATAAAGGACAGAATATAAAAAGAAAGTTGGTAAGAAAAATAGAACAAAAGGAAAAGATCAGAGGGATCTGATTATACTTTAAGCTAAATACACAGTTTATAATGAAGACATTTCATTGAATCCTGTTCCCTATACCAGCAATAATATTGATAAGATTGGGAAAGCTTCTATAGCACTTGGCACTTCTGTGTTTAGGTGAGTAAGCTGTAATTTTAACATTCTATGACTTGTGAAGCCTCATTTGTCCAGATTAGGAATAACCCAAAAGATAGCATAGGGGAAAAAAAGATCAGTGTATTTGTTCATTTTATAAACATGTTATTAGTTACTTAGTAAACTGGTATGAGGTGCAAGAGATACTCAGGCAAAAAATGAGGGCAGATCAGCTATAATGTAAATAATAACACAAGTCTATCACACCACATATAACACAATCTGAAGAAGCAAAATGGCTATAAAAACCATGCTCTTGAAAAACATCAATAAAAACACCAATAAAATTAAATGAAAAATTGAATTTCTTTACATCATTGCTGCTTTGAATTAGAATAAGTTTCTCCTCTGGATTTTAAACAGGATTTTCCTCAGTGTAACTTTTATATCCTTGTTCCTCAAACTGTAGATCAAAGGATTGACCATGGGTACCACGTTAGTATAAAAAACAGAATAAATTTTTCCCAGGTCCATAGATCCAGGAGACGAATATGTAAGATACATGAATGCTGCTGACCCAAAGAAAAGAGATAGAGCAATGATGTGGGAGCTACAGGTACTGCAGGCTTTCGATCTCCCTTGAGCAGATTTGATATGAACAATGTTAGTGATGATAAAGATGTAAGAAATTAAGATGGTAAAACTGGGTATTGTGATATTAATTCCCACAACAATGAGAACTACTATCTCATTGACATAGGTGCTGGTGCAAGAGAGTTGGAGGAGTGGGAGGATGTCGCACAAGTAATGGTTGATGATATTAACATCGCAGAAAGTTAGTCTAAGCATGCACCCTGTGTGGGCAGTGGCTCCAGCAAATCCCATCAAATATGCAGCAAAAGTTAGCACAAAACAAACCTGATGGGACATGGTGACCTTATACATCAATGGATTACAGATGGCCACATATCGATCATAGGCCATTGAGGTCAACATATAGCACTCAGAGATGACAAAAAAGAGAAAGAAAAACAGCTGAGTCATGCACTCAACATAGGGGATGATATTCCTCTTCGATATAAAGTTCATCAGCATCTTGGGAGTGAAAACAGAAGAGTAACAGAGATCAATGAAAGATAGGTTGAAGAAGAAATAGTACATGGGGTTGTGGAGGTGAGAATTTAGACCAATAAGTGTGATCAAGCCAAGGTTGCCCACCATGGTGACAATGTAGATCATTAGAAACAGGTAAAAGAGGGGTTTCTGGAGCTCTGGATGGTCTGTTAATCCAGCAAGAATAAATTCAGTCACTAATGAGTCATTTCTAGCCAGCATTCTCAAATTTGGAAATCTGTGAAAACAGAAGAAAATTCCATTAATAGAGAACACAGCTCTGTTCTTACAACCTCTCATTTGTGAGAAGGGGACTCAGACTGACAGAAATTAAATAAGTTCTTCTTTGCTCCATAGGGTCTGAACGTACTGCGGCATGCGGCACAACCCTCAACATTTACCGTCATGTGTCACTTAATTACAGGGATATTTTCTAAGAAATATGTCATTAGGCAATTTTATTGTTGTGTGAACATCATACAGTGAACTTACACAAACCTAGATGGTAAAGCTGACTAGATACCTATGCTGTATGGTACTAATATTATGGGACCACAATGGTATATGCAGTCCATCATTGACTGACATGTCATTATGCAGTGCATGACTGTAAATAATTCTGTCTTTTGTTGCATGAGCCACATGTGACATACAACTGCTTCTGCTTTTAGTAGAGGGTAAAGGGATGGAGTAGCTGGGGAACAAGCCTAACTACTGATGAGCTTCAGTAGTGGGAATGTATCCCAAATCACTCCCTCTCATTTCTCTGATCCTTCACTTCCTAGTTCCTAGTCGTGTTTCCAGTACCCTACTAGATACCTCAGCTCCACTGTGATGATCAACAAGCAAGAGAGGATTCCTCTAGGACAGAGACCAAACAGATATTCTGCTTTCTAAAAGGAAGTCTCTCACAGTCCATAGGGTTTCCAGATACTTTACTATAAGAATTCATGAAATCAGTAATTGATAACAAGTATTGAGGAGACCCTCGGTAGCCTAAGATTTATAATTAAGCATACACTCCAGTGTTGCTACACATTCTCCTCCTTTATTCCATTCTAGTTGGACAGAGAGTGAATAAAGGAAAGTCAACGTGATTTCTCTTGTTTTGAAGGAAGGCATAAGAGAAACAGAATTGAGTGCTGACTAATAGTTGTTAAGTTTGTGAAAATGTATCAAGCTCTATATTTATTTTGATATGTAAACTTTTATATATGTATAGTATATTTCAATAAAATTTTTTAAGGCAAAAAGCAGATCTCTTCCTCCTCTGATGTTGCTATGTTCTGGGTGTGTCACTTGGAACTGCTATAGTTCTCCTGCTACTGGACTGAGAATGAAGTAAACACAGAGAGAGTATGTTGAGAGCAATGCAGGCAACAGAGTCAGAGCTCCATACTTTTGAGTTTCTTGTTATTCAATATAAATACTTTTCCTCATTTTTCAGCAACAGGGAGAGAAATAGAAACTTGATTAACTCACTCTCCTTCCATTAAGAGAACCCAGTGCTGACACATTTTGTGAGTTTCACTTCCACCGTCCTGAAAGAAGAACTGGCTTTGGCGATATGAAAGCTGAGCAGATGTAGTCACAGATTCTTCTCTCTTGTTGGCAAAAGAGTCAAAGCGTAGACCTCACAGTCTGAAAGTGCCAGGAGTAGCTCTGAAATGTAGATCAAACTTGTAGTTATAAATTTGCTAATACAGTGAGAAGGGAAACCACAGACTTGACACCTGAACCACCATGTCATAGAGCACACGGCATTTGCTTAAGGCTTATAATTCTTTTGGACCTGATTAGAAATCCAGGTGTAGGTCTCCCATAGGACATTCCCGTCATGAAAAGCTCTGCAGGGAAGAAATCAGTACCTGTATTTACACCCTAATTTTGACAGTAGATGTTAATTTCTCATCAGGGACTATGCATTCCCTAGGGTATAGGAGAAAGAATCCTCTGCTGTCTCTTATAAAGATGCAAATAATTAATGTCATTGAAAATTTCACTAATTATCATTCTAGGTAACATATTAGTTTTATTAAGGATTTATGAACATTACAGTAAAATTTATTTATTATACTATTTTTAAATATTTTGAGTACCTTTAAAGAATCATTGTTTATGCATATTTTATAGACTTATAGCAGAAGGATACTTTTTAATTGGTTTCAGAGATCTTTGTTTTAATAAAAAGTTATTTGACATAATAACAATCCATTATTCAGTGAAAATTTGCTTTGTGTTGTTCTGACTCACTATATCTTTGTTTTTAACAGATTAAAATCAAATCTGTAAGAAAAATCACTGTTAATAGGCTGCCATTTCAAGAAAATATGAGTTTAGAATTCCTAGATGTGTATTAACTTCTCATTGTGCTTGTGATAAGGCACCTAAATTTTATTTTGAAATGAATATAGATTCACAAAGAGTTGCAAAAATAATACATAGAGTTCCTTGAACTCCACCCAGCTTCCTACCATGGTGACATCTTCAACAACTGTAGTATAATAGAAAACCAGGAAATGGACGTGGTACAATAATGTTAACTAGACTTCAGGACTACAGACATTATTCAGCTTTTAGTAGTTTTATATGAACTGAGTGTTTGCATTGCATGTGTCTGTGTGTGTGTGTGTGTTGATCTATGCAATTTTGATCACTTGTATAGATTCATGTAACCATTATCACGATTAGGATAAAAAACTATTCTACCACAATTTAGGACCTCCTTTATACCACCCCTTTATGGTTACACCCATCCACTTCCACCTTCATCTCTGTCTTCTGGCAACCACTAACCTGTTCGCCATCTCTATAGTTGAGACATCTGGAGGACAATAAATGAAATCATACAATATGTAACCTCTGAGATTGTTTTTTTTCACTAAGCATGATGCCCATAAGTTTCATCCTGGTTGATGCATATATCAATGGTCCATTCCTCTTATTGCTGAGTAGTGTTCCATTTTTTATAGTTGAAGTTTATTCAACCTTCTGTAGAAATGTAAATATTACTAGGTTCTTGTATTGATACAAAACTAAATCTATTTTTTTTTTTATGGAAAATGTTTCGAGGGCAGGGGCTAGAAAATCACATTCAAGACTGGTTCTTCTTGGAATTCTCTTTAAGCCAACACTCTCTCTTTGACTTTAAGTCAAAACTCTCACTCTTTCTTCTCCAAGAATAATGATTGAGGTACTCATATTTTGAGCAGGTCTTATAATTAGTCAAAAACAATGAGAACACAAGGCATGTATCACCATTCCTCTTTGTGAAAGTGCACAAAATCATCACTATTAGTCATTAAAAAATTATTCAGGAAAAGGCATTGGAATATAATAAAATTTCTATTATTTACAATTCCTTATTTGTCATTCAATCACAATATACGTGTTATAGTGTTTCAGAGTTGCAAACTCACATCCCAGTAGGAAATAAATTTACTAGCTAGAGTCTACCATTTATATATAGATATTTTTGTCTTCAGACCTACAATGTATAGTCCAATAGATAAATGTTAATATTACTGTCACGGGAGGAAGTTACAAATATACAAAAAGAGAAGTATAGAATGAACCCTGTGGTGCTAGATTGGAGTCAGAAAGAACATGTTTATACTAAATATACATTAAGATGCATATATACAGAAATAATTAAAGATAGAGAGAGAGAGAGATACACAAGGGTTTGAATACATACACATATTTCCTACCTCTCTCCACTGAGAGGGACTAAAAGCAGTGACACTCTAGTAGCAATGAACACATCCAGCACCCAGATCTTGGTTTCTGAATAACATTCTCTAATAACAGGCACCTAGAGCTCCTTGGAGAAGTGATTCATTTTGGGGCTGGACCAGGTAATCACAAAATTATCCTGAAGCATCTTGTAGTGTCAGAAAGTAAAAACTGATGGTTAAAAAACAAGATGGATTCTAGGTCAAAAAGTCCCAGGATCCAACCTGAGAGTTCTTAAGGACCAAAGCTGGATCTATTTGAGGAATAAAATAAACAATCATACTATTGGATTATAACCCAAAGAATAAAGTAAACATCCATGAGGCCATATTGTCAAAAGTATAGGGAAAAGACAGGACAAATATTCCTTGAGAAGAATTTCAAAAATACGTATCTACATAACTCCTCTCAAGGAGATAGAGCTTAATTCCTCTCCCCTGGATTTAGTGACTTGATTCCAAAGAATTCAGTATGGAAAAGGAAAAATAGTAAATTTACAATGGAGAACCAAACACCACGTTAACCAAGTGATCAGCGTTAACATTACCAGTGATAAGTCATGTTGATATCATGTAGACCTTGATATTATAGATACTTCACTATACATCATTCTTCCCAAAATCTGTAACCCAGTCTATAAATGAGAAAGCATCATACAAACCCAGATAAGGGCATTCTACAACATATCTCGCCAATACTCTTCAAAATTTTTATAGTCAGTAGGAAAAAAAAAGGACAAAGACTGTGAAATTGTCACAGATCAGAAGAGACTAAAGAGACATATCAATGAAATGCACTGTGGTTTCCTAAATTTGGTCCAGAAATAGAAAAATGATATTAATGGAAAAACTGCTGGAATCCAAATAAAGTCAGTTTTTTACTAACAGTGTTGTTCCTAAAGTTCATTTCTTAGTGTTAGGAAATCCACCACGGATATGTAAGATGTTTAAACTGGGGGAATTTGGGGGAAGGGTATATACAGGAATCCTCTGCATTTTTTGCAACTTTTCTATAAATCTAAAATTATTTTAAAATTAAAATTTTATTTACAAAAAACACAAATTCCTCAACCCACAAAAGAATGTAATATTTGATTTTATGTAAATAACCTCTCTATAGATTTGGAAACATATGTTCTTCATTTCTATACATATGAAAGCAGATTTGCACACACATTTGTCTTTCAGAGAGATGGACAAAAGTCCCACTTCATACTCAGGGGGGAATCCTCATTGTGTTATCTTGGTGGGATGCAGTACCCAACTGCCCACTACCGAAGCCACAAAGAGAGAAGCTCTGCCCCTACATTCCTTGGCAAACAGAAGACGTGCACATTGACTTGACTCAGCCAATCTCATACTCCTACCTGAGATTTAAATCTGGACCAAAGGATGCAAACATAACGGGAGAGCTGAGAACCATTTTACAGAGCTGCATCTGTGTCCAGGGACTGTTTCAGTGGTAAGAATAGTGTGCAGACCCTGCAG